TTTTTTTTTTTTTTTTTTTTTTTTTTTTTTTTGTTAATTTCTTTCTTTTATTGTATCGTATTGTTGGAAAAAAAATAAAAATTTTTATCATAATACAAGAATTTATACTGGCAACAAATGGAGATGTCGACACAGTTATTGCAAATAACTAAAAAACTGTATCGGTGTTTAACAGCAATAGTTATATTTGAAGACAAAAAGTAATGTTCAATTGTCGTGCTGCAAACAGAATTGTGTTCTCCTCACTTACCTATAATTCATTCGGTGCTTAGATTTTTTCGAATGAAAGAAATCAAGCATTAAGAGTTGCGTAAATTTGAAACTATAAAAAGAAATAAATATGCCTATCAAAAATCTACCATAATCTTACTGCATAGCAAAATATTCAACGAATTTGTTAAGTAATGAAACGACAATCAGTAAGCTGAGACAACTTTAAATTGCTTAAATATCTACCAGTTAGTAAATATCAACAATGAAAAATTTTTGCTCAGATAAAGAATAGAAAATCTTTGGTATTAAACCATTGGTTTCAGCGAACGAATATAAACGTGAAACAGTTATTTCTTTCGCTGTTACAGTGAAATATTTTTCAGAACTAAGCCCTTCATGAAAAATCACACCTAATCTATGAAACCAAAAGGTGGGGGGTTGACATTGAATGACGGCATTGAACTATTTGTCATTTCAGATGTTTTTCTATTCCTTTTTTTTTTGAAATACTTAGAATGAAAAAAAAAAGATTGTAATAGCAGCATTTTTCACTTGTTTTTCTATTTTATTTCTTTTTTTCTTTTGTTTGGTAATAAGTTCTGCAGACTTTTATTTGTTCAGAGCAATTTGTTGATGTTGGATAAGGCATAAGGTAAGATGTTGTTGCGAAGATATGAATATAGACGGTGTTATCACAAAAAAGGTCATTAACCAAATTATTGGGTTATAAAGGCTCAACACAGTGTTTGTTTCTTTTGTTTTTACAAATACATTTCTTTTATGTTTTATTCATTTTTATTTTTTACGGTGTTCATTAAATTAAGAAATTTAAATTTATTAACAAATCAAATATTATTTTTATTATTTTTTTGCAACATAAATTATCTGACTCAAACACTATAAAACGACATAAACGAGTCATATTATCGATTTAAGTAAATAGGTTAGACTACTTTTTTTGCTCAAAAAAGCAAAAAAGTTAGATTTGAAAGTTTGTATTTTTTTAAAGAATTCTTCTTTTCATTGTTTTTGCGCATTAATTTTTGCTATTTAGAAAAGACAAAAAAAAAAAAAAAATTAATCGTTGTTTAGGACAGGTGGAAAACAAAACTGCAAAAACTGCCGATAAGAGTATTATTTGTTGTTGTTATTCTATTGGCGATTGGCCGCTATTAAACGTCAATAAAAAGTTTATCGACCTGACGGTAGTGGCCATAAGGAGAACAGATTTTGGTTGTGCTTCTAAATGTTTAACTCGAACAATTCATTAATCATTTTTTTTTTCAATGCATGTATTACTTTGGCTACAAATAACAATTTCTGTTTGCTTTTTTCAAACAATAGAATATTTTATAATTGATTCCTCATCGACATTACAGTTTTATTGAGTTTTTACTGCTGTAAATCAATTTGTTGCTTTTCTAGTCTTTTATAAATTTTTTCTTGTTTTTTTGAACACCCTCAATTTTTGTTGGCAATTGATTACCAGTGGCCAACAATTGACAAACAGCTAGAAAACAGTTTGAATCGATTACACCAAAAACGAGCATCTGAGTATCAAAAGTGAACACTGAAAGGAGACAGAGGTACAGTGGTCAATACCAACAACTGATTCGTTCAGCAACTGTTAATTTAGGGCAAGAAGCAATTGCCGCAATGTTCCAAACCGTTTCCACAACTGTTTTGCAGAGGAACATAAACCAAGGATCAGCTAATTATGACTGCAACTACATATTTGCAAATAAATTTATACATACAGAAAGTTGAGAGAAAGAAAAATGATGAGACTGCAAAATTTATTTATTTTCTTTGTTAGTGTTCCTTAAACTAATTAAAAGTACTAAATTAGGTTGTGGTGATGGGAGTGCGTAACAAGAAAAAAAAAAGCGTAATAGCATATGGCGAGTAAATTAGAGCAATTATGCGGCATTGAATTAGTGGAATTTTTCACTGAATACAAAAAGCCAGTGAACACACATCGAAGAAAATCTGACCTAAAAACACCAAAAACTACATCGATTGCTATCCGTTTAGAGTGATCATTTCTACTGTTGCCTCTATTTCAGGTGCTCTGATTGGGTCAAGCTTCAGAGTTCGTATTAACGCTGTCACTGTTCAGCGGTCAACTATCAAATCAAAAACATGGCAAATTTTTGCTTAGCGTTAGCTGATTCTGTTCTAAGTGCTTTTTGACATTTTTGCTACTGCGCTGAATTCGTTAACAGTTTCAGAAATTTGTGTTATAAAAAAACAATTATTTGATATTTTTTTGACAAACCATCTTCTTTTAATAACGCCTAAGCCAAATCATTCGAACTTTGCTGATGGTTTATTTGTATTTACTTGTCGCCATTTGAACAGTATTATAAAAGGTCACGAAAATCTGTCGACAATATTTTGTTTTTTGTTAATCTTTTTCCTTTCCGTAAGTGTATAAAAAAAACAATTTTCAGAACTTCCTAATGCTGGTCCTTCTCATTTTTGGTGCTTTTATTAGTGCTACGTATGCCGGCTCTGTATCTTTGTGTAAGGATATAAAAGACTGTGCCAAATGTGCTGAATCGTTTATCTATGTATTCGGCTTCAAAGAACACTGCAGGTACAGCTTATTGATTAAAAAAAATTTTGTAAATTACGAACTATATAACTTATTTAGTAGTTTTCTGTAGTCGTAAAATATGAAGACTTTAGTCAAGCAAATTGATCGAATAATATTTTACAGTATTACTGTATAAAAAAAGATTCTGCAGGAAAAAATGGCTGGTTTTAGATGGTGTCTTGAAACAAAAGCTTGTGGTGGTCCGTTTGCATGTTCAAAGAGCACCAGTGTCGTTCAGCGAGAACCTTTCAAATGTCCTTCTGAGGCACCGACAATCAAGGGGCGACGATACACTGACAAATTGGGAAGATCGCTGTTTGCACTGGCTGTCGCCTCAAAACTTTCCGACCCAACAAAATGCTTATCAAACAATCGACCAGATGTCAAGTAAAAAAATTTGATATTAAAAAAGAACTGCATGGAATATTTAAGCCTTAATTATAGTTTCGCGTAGCAGAAATATTAACACGCAGCAAATTATAGGCTTCTAAAAATGTATGAAGTTGAATGTGACGCATCGCACAATAAATGTGCTGGTATGTTGGCAGTTTCCGAAGCTGCCAAAAGTCTTTATGTTGTATATCGAACTACCGGCGAAATTAAGCAGCTTCTTACAGAGGTGAATCATTGTGTACTAAAAGAGTAGTAATTATCAATTACAAATTTATTAGATAACCTTCAAATATGTTCAGCTTGTGCACACAATTGTTGCTCAACTCGGAGCTTGGGAAAAGTTTGAAGCTGGCGGCGGTGTTATTACATATTTTCATGGAGCCTTTGAAAGATTATTCAAAGGTAGTGGAATGAAGTCAGACCTGATGAAATTGAAAGAGAAGTATCCTGGATACAAAGTTTGGGTGAGTATCTTAGCTTTTTATTCATAAACAGACTTAAAAAATTACGATTTGAAGTTTATCGACTTCTTCAGAATAGTTGCAAACAGTTGTGCTCGTAACTACGACAGATTGACAAAAATGTTTTTAAAATTCTTAAACTTGACTATTTTTTGAGTCGTGTATAATTGATAAGATTTGGTCGACCTTGGCGAAACTTGTCAGACTAAGCGGTAAAACCGTGAAACTTTGCTTAATAAAATTAGATTGAAGCTATCAGTGAAAATTTCTGTATTCTTGTACTCTCGTATGTAATTTCTACACTTTTGGAGTTGCCGCTTATTTTGCTTCCAGGTTACCGGGCATTCATTGGGTGGATCATTGGCTTCAATGACAGCACTCTATTTGGCGAACAAGACGATGTTTTCGACTGACCGAATTCGTCTGGTCACTTTTGGCGAGCCAAGAACTGGCAATGTCGCTTTTGCAAAGGCAGTTGAAGATACTCTGAAATTCCGATATCGAGTTGTACACAGAGACGATATGGTAAAGATTTCAAATATGTCTTTTGAAAAATACTTGTCACCTTTTGTTCATAAAAGCTGTGTTCATGGCAGCAGTAAATAGACTGTACTAGTTTTTGTTAGAGAATTATAACAGTTTGTATAAAATTTTTTGTAAAGAGATTGTTTTTTATTGTTTTATTGTTTTTTTTTCTTTTTATTATGAAGCTATTATTGCAGATTACAAATATCCCGACTGCAATGGACCCTAACAGTCTATTAATCACAGCAAGTTTAGCTGAAAGGCAACCGCATTTCTATCGATACGTGGTGCATTACGATAATGATATGAAACCTGATGACAAATTCGAGGTCAGTAGAGCAAGCGTAATTTTTGCTAACCTTGACTTTCAGTATTTTTCGTTTGACATTTATTCGATCAACTGAACTTGAACAGTTGTGCAATAATGCTTTTTTTATTCTTTATCAGACAGATCATGTAAAATTTTTTAAATTTCAATCGTTTTAGATTTGCAACTACTCTGAAGATCATGCGTGCAGAAATTTGGCGTCAGCAAACAACGCAATGGATCATGTTAACTACTTTGGCATTGATGCTGATGTGTATCTGAAGGATAACTGCACCAAACCCTTAACAACATGAAATTTCGAGTAATTATTCCTCAGCTTTAGTACATTTTATCTGTTATGTATATTTCTGTTGAATTTGTTCAAGTCGTTATAATAATTCGTTAAAATACGCGTTTGTAAATAGGTTTAGCTTTTTTTGGTTTCTGCAGATTAACCCATTTTTCTTTTTTTACTTTTGATTTGCAGCAAAATGTTGACAAAGAACGAACCTCTTGTTTGTTTTTGAATTTCAGAATTGTTGAACGCCTGTGTTTTTGATGTTGTAAGTTATTCGACTGGCAGCTAAACTATTTAGAATGATAAAACAAAATAAAAAAAAAATCAACCGGTATTTTGTTGCAACGAAGAGCATAATAAAAGCGTTTTAGTTGCCTTAGTAAGACAATGAATTGCAAAGATATATTGGCAAAGCAGTTAAAACTTTTATTTAAAAACATGACTGTTAAAGATGAAACAAGAGGAAAATCTCATTGCGATGGAATTTTTTAATGCACGACAAATTTTGTTGCTTACCAAAACTACTGCATCTGAAAACTGGTAAGTCTTCAGAAGCGATGTACCGGTGGTACAACTGGAAGAGTAAATAGAGACGAGATAATAAAAGCTATAGTTGATCAGAGGCTGGCTTACAGGTTTCTATGCAAAAATCAAATAAATGACGATAATTACGGCATTTGTAGTGATAACCTAAAAGTGCTAAGCGTTCAGCATTCAATTCAGATGTTTAATAGTAAAAATTGAACAGTTTTATACAGCCACAGCTCCGCCTAAGTCACTTTTTTCGCGTCTAAATTTTAGATTCTTAAGAACGTTTCTAAAAAAAAGAGTTCAAGTATGAGACGTCTGGAGGATTCTTATACTGCTAAGATCAATTGATCATTGTCGTAAAACTGAATTTCCAGCGCGTATTTTTTCCGAAACTAATTTTTAGACAACAAAAAAAAAAATATTTAGTCAGTTATCTGCAGTTTCTTTTATGATTTCTGGAATACAAAACTGCCTAAACAGGTGTCTTTTCAAAATTTATTTTGTTATCATTTTTTACTCGCAATTGAAAAAATGCTGTTCTCACTTTTCCAACTGACTTTGCTTAACAAAAATTTACTGGTGACTAGATAAGAGTAGCACTAAACAACTGCAAAAAAAAAAGAGATGAAAGTATAAGAATGATATTAAATTAGAAAATTTTGAAAAGTTGTTCAGTTGTTGTATGATTGTACAGTTTGAAAAATCATACAGTCACTTCTACAAATGTGATAAAATATTATCAACTTTGCAACTTCAACTTTTTAAATGTCGTATGCATTTTTTTTTTTTGTTTTTGATTAAGTTGAAAAATATTTCATCTACAATTTTTAGCATTAAAAATGCCATATCAGAGAGCTATAAAACAAACAGTGACAGCAAAAAGCAAACAGAAAAGTGTATTATAACAGTCTGCGATTGTCAGTGGTAACATTAAACAGTTACAATTGAATAGACAGTCACCTTTAAATTTCTTCAACACTAAGCTTTTTCAAAGCTTTCTTTTTCTACAGCTTTTTAATATTAATTTTTTAGATCAATAAAATTTTTAAAATTAACTGTTCAACAATAAATAAAATGCAAAAAAAAGTCATTTTATATTTGGCAATGTTTTAATGTTACTTTTTTAACCTTAGAGTACATTTAAGTTAAAGCACACTAATTTGAAAAAGAATAAATTACATTAATAGCGAAAATGGTAAAAAGTTTAAGCTTTTATTACACCAATTTAGTGAAACATTCTGCTTGAAATGCTGTCAATTCAACTTCAAAGATCAACCAAAATATTTTGCAAGAAAAATTTTAGATTTAATGTTGTACCTATATTAATTTAGCAACAACTTTCAACTGGTCTAATTTTGAGGTAACTTTAGAAAGAACTACAAACAAAGAATGAAAAGAAGTTTAGTAATTTATGTTATAGAGCATTTCTAATTCTAAAAAAGCAAGAAGCTTTCCATTATCAAATTGATGACTAGCATACAGATCATAAACAGTCATAATTTTTTTTTTTTTTTTGAACTGTAGTGATAAATGTAGTGATCTTGCAGCAACATTTAAAGCTTTTAATAAACGGTTTACCAGTGACGTCTATTGAAAAGCTATGAAACATAAATTTTAGTTCGAGGTTATATTGTCAAAAAGTATAATAAAATAATTCTAATTTTGTGTTGAAACCTCTTCAGTAAAACTACAAAAAAAGTTTCTGCTTTCAGTGGCTGTTTTAGCAGTCTTAAAAGCAGCTATAATAATCATCTTTTACAGCCGCAGAAAATTACCCTAAAATATGTTAACTGTTGTTAATGAAGCGGTATTGCTTTATGAATACTATTTAAAAAGCTTAGCAGAAAAATGCATACACAACAAAGAAACTGAGCGCTTATGACAAGGTGGCAGAGAATTTACTTAAGACTGTAAAGTTGCACTAGAAGAGTTAGAGCTAGCTTGTAAACACTTTATACCTACCTTAATAAACTTCTTGCATTAGAGAGTCATTTGAGAAAACTAGTAAAACCAAATCAAGTAAATGCTCTTTTTGAATATTTTAGTTTATCTGATCAATAAAAATAGGAAAACAGATAGCCAGACAGATTTAGAATTTATTTTTCAAGTCTCTGTTTTGAGAAGCTAATAAATAAGAGAGTCCGTCTAAAAGAGGATTCTGTCATCCTGACTCAGATTTACAAAAATCACTCTCTCTTTTTACACTTTCAGAAAAGTTTCCATCTTTAAAAAGATCGTTTGAACTGATGCAGCGTAAAAAAAGGTCATTTTGCATAACTGTTTTCAACAATACTTCACTTTGTTCAAATGTTATATGCTAATTTCAAAAGATTCTTTAACTTTTTTTATAACAGCATATTGTAAAAAAGTATTCAACTTTTCAATTGATCATTTAAAACTGCTCTATTCTAAAATAATTAACATAATTTATAGGTCATTTTTTTGTATAGTGAAAAAGCTTTTTATTCAGTTTGGACACATTTTTAAAATTATAAAAAAAAAGAAAAAATTATTACAGGTG